AGAACATCACATTCTATATACATATTACATAATAATATATTTCATGTTACAAATTAAATATCATATAAAATTTTAAACACTAATATCCCTTTCACCTCTATCAATTTTGTCATAAACTCACTCTTGTGTATATTTTACCATCTTAAAGCTTAAAAGTAAGTCTTTTTAAGTATAAAATATTTATAGTTTTGAAAACTAAGTTTTGTATAATTATTTTATAAACAAGTATTTTAAAATAACTCTTTTTAAAGTATGAACAATAAAACTTTTTAAGCTTTAACATTGCTTCCATGCATCATTTCTATCCTACAAGCTAAACAATTATTAAAAATAATGGTTTGTAGTTGAAATATTATAATAATAATAATAATAATAATAATAATAACAACAATAATAATAATAGAACAACAATAATATTTAAAATTATAATATTAATTAAGATTTAGGTGTGTGTATTTTTAAATAATGTGATTTAATCAAATAATAGTAATTACGGAGTATTATTTAATCCTTGAAAAATATAAATATTATCTTTTATATTTTTCTTCATTTGATATTATTGGATTTGATCTGGTCTGATCTGATCAGATTGGATCTGGTCTGATCTAATTGGATCTGATCTGATCTGATTGGATCTGATCTGATTTGATTGGATCTGATCTAATCTGATTGAGTCTGATCTGATCTGATCTGATTGGATCTGATCTGATCTGATTAGGTCTGGTCTGGTCTGATCTGATCTGATTTTAATAAGAATAAGTAATAAGTAGAAAAAATAAGTCCTACGGAACGGTCCCTAAGCTTTACAATCAGTGACCAACGTATCAAGACTAGATTCTCATCCGAAACCACCTTAGCCAATCTCTCACAATCAACAAAAGCTCCATACATCAAAAGTGTACTCCAAGTACTGCAACACGCACAATTACACGTGTAAAAAGAAAGAAAATATATAAATAAAAATTTGTGGAAACAAAATGCATAGTGTACGTTTGGGGTACACATTTAGTGTGCCCCTAGCATCCCGATTAGAGCTTCTCGTTGATTGGCCTCCACTATTATAGGTCTAGCACAAGATATATAAAGGTCGGTTGTTATGATATTAGAAATCAGTGTCACGGATGGCTCGAGGATGCTTCGGTGTTCCGTTCATAAAATTGACAGTTTGTATCCCCCTAACCACTCTAGTAAGTCCCCACACCCCGCCCCACTCTGAACATACCCCTCCCCCAACCCTTTCAATTGCACCCCAAGTTAATTTTGATTTTAGAGACAGAGTTTGACTCTAAAATTAAAATTTACTTGAAAGGTGCAATTAAAGGGAGTGAGAATGTGTTCGGGCGGGCGGGATGTGGGGTTACTGGGGTGGTTAAGGGGTAAAAACCGTCAATTTTACGAATAGATCGTCGAATTTGCAGCAGCATTAAAGAGAAAAAAAAGGGTAAATAATACGGACTTTACGGAGTACACAAGTGACCGACAACTTTGGATGAGTTATATTTTGATTGCCTTTATTCCTCGGTGCCTTCCCATCACAGCAACAGACTATCTAACCATCCATCGATCTATCTATCTCAGTTACACCACTTCCACCGCCCTCCCTCTCTCTCTCTCTCTCTCTCTGAACTCTGATCTGTCGGTCCACACAGAATTTCCATTTGCAGGTCGGCCCGCAGGGAATTGAAGAAGCTAAGATATAATAATAATGGTACTACTTTGTAGTAATTGGTTTCCATTCGCGGCGGCGGTAGCGATCGTAGTTGCCGGAGAGATGCTGCTTATTTCTGCGGATGCTTACAGGAATTACACCGTCGGCGACTCCTCCGGCTGGATCGGCGCCAACTCTTCTGTCGACTACCGGAAATGGGCTTCCGGCAAGACCTTCTCCCTCGGCGATTTCCTCAGTACGTTTTCTACCCTGGCCCCTACCTAACCTCTTTTATCTGCCTCAAAAATTCTTCACAGTTTGATTTTTTTTTTTAAATCATAGATAAGTACTTGATAGCGAGTTGACCATTACTAATAAATACGAGTAAATCCTTAAATGAAGTGTCTTGATATACGAAGTAATTAGATTTTGGCCACATTTGGTACACGGAATTGAAACTATAGAATTAGAATTGAGGACTTCAATTTCAATTCTCATGCTTGGTAGTACAAAAATTATTTGGAATTGGTAATGCAAAAAATGAATTGGAATTGGTGAATTCAATTCTATGGAATTGAATCCCACGAAATTTTAAAGTGTTCGAAAAAGAGGAAAGAAGAAGATTGCATTATTGGGACGGATGAAAAAAGAAAGAAGAAAAGTTTTCATGGACGGATAGAGTATTTGACATTCACATGAAAATGAGTTTTTTAAGGTTGTGTACAGTTAAATACATATAGATAGTCTTAAAAAAATAGATGGATAGAACATTTTATTAACACTCCGTTAGATTTACAAAAGAATTTACCATACTTCGATCGATGATGGCTACTTCAACTTGCATACTCAATTAATTGTCAACTTTCTTGTTGCTATTTGTCTCGGTTCGGAATTATTATTTGCAGTCTAGAATAATTAACAAGTGTGTAATTAAAAAAAACAAGTGTGTAATTAATGCACTCCCGAATCTGGCATAGAAAAAATATTGAAGTTAAAAGGTTAGGAGCCATTGGTGCAATTTTTAAAGTTTAAAGAGAGGCCGCGTAATTTTTGAACAATTCGAGAATAAATGGCGCAAAAAAGTTTTTAATTATTCTAGACTGCAAATCGGGATTGCGCTTGGAAATTTGTTAAAAATCTACAAAAATTTCACATAAGAAGAAAAAAAGAAAGTAAACCAGTCAAACTTGTCTTTTATCTTAAACTTGCTAAATAAAACCGAATAAAAAGGCCGGCATTGGTGATACTATTTTGAGTAAAACGCTCTAATTTACTACCACACCACCTACTTCTCACTTTACATTTCCTTACTTCAAGTTCCAAGTATAAGTCTGAAGTAAAGCGATTGGGTCTACAAATCTATTTTAAGTTTTATTCAATTTGAATAATGTTGCAGTTTTCAATACCGATACCAACCACTCGGTAATCCAGACGTACAACGAGACCACATACCAACGGTGTGACGATGAGGATGACGAAAGCACCATCCAGTGGTCATCCACAGACCCGTCCTCCACCTCCCCACACCCGGCCTCGGTGGCGGTCCCACTCACGAAGGTCGGGGTGACGTATTTCATCTCCGCCGACTATGACGGTGAACAGTGCAGGAACGGGCAGCGTTTGATGGTCAATGTCACATACGGTCAAGGCTTGCCGCCTAGCCTGAAATCTCCCGATAATTCGCCGGCTCCGGCAAGCCCACAGTCCGGCGATGACAGCGGCGTCCCGGAAACGGTGGTGCCCGCTAATTTCAATCATCCTCGCGACGTGGGCGACGAGGATGGTGGGCCGCCGTCTAGTTCGGGTTGTTTGGGCAGTTTTTCTGGAGTTTTTGGGTCAAATGGGATCTTTTTGCTTGTCTTGAGCCTATCCTGCATTATTTGACCATGTTCTTTTCTTTTTTTAAAAGATGAGTTATTCATATATTAATGTGAACTATGTGCTCTATTATTTTGTCATAATATACACACATGGAAAGGCTTGTTCTTTGAGATGTTAATAAGTGCGTTTACTTTCTTTTTTTGATGGAGAGTGAGTGCTTGTACTTCAACAGACAACCGTACCAAGTGGAAACTAAATAATGTTACTCTTTCTCAATGGCACTACCTTCTAGAGAAGGGCTTTCTTACGAAGTACTCTCTATTGTTGATAGAATTTATGTTTAAATTAATTCTTTTAAGAATTAAGATAAAATACAAAGTACAATTTGTGATATAAGACCCGAATTTGATTTTTGGAAACTGAGCTAAGAAGTAATTATATTAAGTATAGAGTTCCTGCAAATACCAGGTGCATGCTCTACTCTTTGCCATTAATCTGCGACCAATGTCTAATTTACCTCTTCTTAATAACCATCCGGCCAATTTTAAGGGGTCCCTCTGGGATGGAGTTCATCCTTTACAATATGATAGTATTTGACATAACATACTTCTACAAAATGACACTTCTTATAAACCAATAGACTAATGTCGGAGTATTGTGATAGATGAAAATTTATTACTCTTTGCATAAAAAAACAAAAACAGCCAAGGTCCTCAAAACCGGCCCAATAGATGTAAATTAAACTTCATTTTTAAACTGACTAATGGTGTCATTGCCACAAGCCGAACCTAGACATTACTACCTCTTTTAATGCCCCTATTGACCAATTTGGCTAATACATTAAACCACATTTGATGTATTGTTCTAACTTGCCCACAACATCCAAATCATGTTTGGCCACTCTTGTACCATACACACACAACTAGTCATTTGCTTGGAATATGCATGTAACATGGCATTGTTGCCTACTCATGGTTTTATCTTTAAAATGAAACAATGAGATCGTGCCATTAAAATTTATGTTATAAATAAATACTGCTAGCTTATAAAGCCACAAATTTCTTTTCTTTAAAAAACGAGACCTTATTTCTACTCTCCTTTAAAAAGAATGTATGATTTAACAGAACATAATTATTAATAAAATAAAAATATGTTATTGAAATTTATGTGCATTTGCAAGAAATACCCTAAACTACATAAAAACATTCAAAAATAAAAACATACACGTGGTTTTTAGAGGACCATAAAGGAAAACAAAACATCTTTTAAATAAGTTTTCAAGGACAAACCAGGTAAAATGTTACTACAAGTTTGTTTCTAGTGAGAATTGTCTATTTGCCTTTTTGGTTAGCCTATTAACTATGAATGACCTAGATTGGCTTAGTTCTTTGTATCCTTCACACGCTAGAGTCACCGAGCAACAAATGTGCACTTTTGAGTAGGGGTCGCAGCTCGCGGGTTTTCACGTAAATAAAAAAAGAAAAATGTTAAGAAATAAGTGCAAAAGGAAAAAATGGAAATGAATGTGAAAGGGTAAGAACGGAATTCATTGCCAATTTAAGCCAATAGAAAAGAGATAATGTCATCCTCATATCAGGTAAATGGTTATGCAAACAAACATTACCAGTGAAGCATAATCTCAAATGTAATTTACCCATACAACTAATGAGTTAGAATACGCACCATGCCTAGAGAATCTCAATGTTCTGACTCGGCAAGTCTCCAGTACTTGTTTTGACGCCAGATATATCTTCTATTATGCCTTTGCCATCCATAGCATCAAAGAAGAAGAAATTCTTGACTGGATCGCCTTTGCCAGATATGGCTTTAATCACCTCCTACGTACACAACCAATCATTTCTATTTTAACATCTATGATTTCAGTACAGCATGCTGAAAGATATGAACCATATTCATGTGCATAAATTAAAGATAACCTGTCCAAGAATTCCTCCAATGATGGCACAAACTGGAGGAAACTCTTCTGTGCCCTTTAACAACCGTCGCAGAAGATTATCAGGTATTTGAGATTCATTTAACCCCTGAAAATATAAATAAATAAAATTGATTGCATAACTAACATATAGTTATTCACAGTAATGTTTAACAGCTCAATATAGTCTGGCTGGCATACCTGAGCATCACATAGTTCCTTCCTCAATTTCTGCACTGTAAGAAGGTCAGCAGCATTAAAAGTCTTTCCAGGTTCATGTCCTTCACGCTCCTCAAACCTTTCTATGACTACAAAGTTAAACATCGACGTGTCAAGACAGGTTGCAGCGATTCCGTTCACTTGACATATGAATATGGAGGGAAAAAACACTTATTGCTACATCCATTTAGCAAATGAATGCAACTGCTTGCCACTTGAAAATATGGAAGAACAAGAATTTACCAAATGTCAATAGAATTAACCACAGCCCCCAGCACTTGCCGAGAGCAGACAATAGATTTAGAATCAAGTTTCATTTGTAAAAATAGTCTACTCTTTTATGTAACATGTCGAAAAAAAACTCAAACAGACAAGTTACATTATATAATAAATTTAGTTTAACCTGCAAATCTACATATAAAAAAAATACTTCCTCCGTCTCGTTAATAACTTCACTGTGTGTGATTGAAAATTGTTCAGAAAAAAAGAAATGTTGTGCCTTGTGAGCCACATATTCCATTATTTAATAAGAAATGGAAGATGTGTGATGTTTGTTTCTGGAGTAATCTGGACGGAGGGAGCAAGTACGACTAATAACTTGGAATAAAAGGTTATGCGTTGGTCACACAATTATTTTATTGGGAGGGAGGTAGTACATGTAAGAATGTTATAGGAGATCTCAAGATATTATAGTGGACAATTCCTAAAAGCATATCTTAACTTAAAAGTGTTGGAATGAACTTTTATTCTCATACCAAGTTCTACAACAGAATGTAGAGAGAATTGGGGTGCTGATGAAGGACAATATGAAGCAGTGCCATAATGGGACAGATGAGATGTAATGTACACTTATAGTTCAACTTATCATCAGCTTACAGAATAAAATGTACTAACTTCCAAATGATGTTAGATAGGGTCCTTTCTTTCTCTGGGATCTTCACGAAAGAAGGGCACATAAAATATTTCCATGGAACCCAATAGTTGCATGAGATTAGAAGGGCAGGCCTAGTGCATTGGTGGATTCTCTCCGCTTTTGTATATACGATCCAGATAAATTACATTCCCATGACAGACTAATGTGTGTGTTTTTCGGCATCAGGTTTTAGTAGTTGTCTGACACTTGTATTTTTTATTTTGGTAGAGATAAACAAATAGAGCACTCACTATTGTTTTACAACAACAACAAACCCAATGAAATTCCACAAGAGTAGGGTCTGGGGTGGTGAGTGTAGTACAAATCTTAACCCTACTTGGAAGTAGAGAGGCTATTTCCAAGATACCCCCACCTCAAATACAAAAGAACAGGCAAGCAGAAATAAAGCACAGACAAAGTATAAGAAAAGAGCAGAGAGAGAGAGAGAGAGAGAGAGCACTCATGATTGTTTCGAAAAGATTTTAGAGTTTGATACATTTTTCAAAAACTAGTATGCATCCAGTTGCACCTTTAAACCAGAGTGAGTTGTCAAAAGAAATTTGCAGATTTACCCGAGAAATTTATAATCACAGCATCGAGTATTTGCAAGTTTACCTCTCATAGCAAAATATAGCTTTGATGTTCTCTTTGGTAAATCTGCCCATGGGACATTAATAGCTTCCTATAGAAATAACACAAAAGTAGACATGAAAAAGCAGATTAAGCATACATCCATGCTTGTACAGCATGAAAATGAGAGTATAGAACTCTTTTTTAAAAATTACTATAATGAAACCTTGAAAAACTGATACCTCAAAGCTTGGATAATTAATTTGGCATTCTGTCATTTCTTCAGATTGCTTCTGTCAAAGGAGAAAAAAGACAAATTACAAGGTGTAAGTATGATCTACATTGAATAATAAGGAAAAATTAAGGGCAGCGACCAGGTTAAATGATGCATAAAATAGATCTGATCATTTCTAACCTTAGAATATGTGTAGTTCTGCAAGTCAACAAAAATCTCGCCACAAGAATCTCTAACATCCACTGTATAAAAAGAAATGTGCTTTGACAACTTTCGACACTTTGCATTTACAGATTTCTGTGGAAGAATTGCAGAAAGAAAATTATAAAATTAGTTTCAAAGTGACTCAATTATACCCTCGATGATGAAACATATGTATTTATATAGCAATACCTTGGTTGAAAGAGAGCAGTGACTGATGACAACAACATCAAACTTATCAAAGAAATCAGTGTCGAAACTTGACAAATAGCCTAGAACATAAGTTGTGAGTTTAATTAGAATTCTAAATTTTGTTGAGACCAGCACTTCCAAAAATGAATATTAAAATGCAAACATAACTTGAAAATATATCCTGGTGAATTTGACAATTGGGTTTCTTAATATCACAAATTTCTATTCCCCAAGTAGAAAATGCAAAAACACGTGATGCAAAATAAATGTGCAACATTCTTTTATTGTATTGACATGGTACCATAGTATTCAACTACCCAAGCAACTAAAATTCAAGTGTATTGTCTTTTTCCCTTTCAGTGAGTCAATTTATCATATTGTGCAACATTTTTTTGACATATTCATATTGTTGCAAACCCTACATGTACTCTTTCAAGGCTCTCAAGTCAAAACTCCTTAACATGAAGCTTCTTAGGAGTGAGAAATCAGAGTTAATATAAATGACCTGAACCCATGACCTAGCTCTTACTTGGTTAGAGCCATAGTCACAGAATTCGCTACTACAGCCGCGTCTTCAGTATTGGTTAGCGGCGTACCCAATTGCAATTCGATTGCGATCCGAACGTCAGTGGTACGTCATACCCTTTGACGTGGTACAGCAAACCAGATCGGGCTGGTACGGCACACCAAAAGCAAAATGAAATTATCCCCAACCCCTTGGTACGGCGCACCAAGTCGGAATTTAAGGCGTACCAATCGCCAGCGGTACAGCAAACCGTCTCCGTTTCGACTTTTTGTCTTCCAATGGGAAACTTTCTTCCATTTTATGGGCGTGAAAACAGTGATTACTTCAGCTCCCAGCCGTAATACTGAGTAGTTCCCATGCGTATTGAGTGTATCTCCACTTTTCAATGTCTTATCAAAAAAGCAACTCATTTAATATTTATTTCAATTTACAATTAAATACTATACTAATATGGGCCTGTTTGGGAATAGCGTTAGTGATTAGCGTTAGCGTTTTGGATAAAATTTTAACGGTGCAGATTACTTTGAAAACGCTAACGTTAAACGCTGCCCGTAGATAGCCTTTTCAAAACGCTAACGCTAATCGCTAACGCTATTCCCAAACAGGCCCTATATATACTAAGCAGTGCACATGTATTGTCTCACACTCTCACCACTCACAACCCAGCCTCTATTCCTCCACTGCAATTCTTCATGTCAGAATCAGTATATCCATTTTTTCTCTCTTTTTTCAATGGCTTTTGGCAAAAATAATAAATCCCATAATACTCAAGATGATAGTGAGAGCCATATTAGCAATACACCCAGTTATGTTGATCTTGATGATGAAGTTGAAGCTGTTGAACAAGCAGAAAGTGCAAGCCAAACTCAAAGTCACACCAATGGGAGAGGAAAAAGGCAACGAGTAGATTAGAATATTTTCGTTGATGTTTTGTTTTTCTATTGGATTTTGTAATGTTATGCACTTATGCTCATCTTATCTATTGATATTCAGAAATTTTGTTTACTTATATTTTGACTTTTGGGACACCAAACTGAATACATGGTACACCGTACCGCTTTGTACCGAATTTGTCACTTCTAGCGAATTTTGTACCCGTACCGCGTACCCCTACCGGAATGTACTGCAATTTAGGTGACTATTGTTAGAGCATGGCAAGTGCAATATAAACAACTTCTATAGCATGTCAAGAGAATATGATAATATATGATGAATGTAGTAACTACTAACTAGTATGGAGTATTATGCATGACTACACATAGAACCCGTTTCCTTGATCATAAAACGGTTGCAACTTCAGGTACAATTATTGTAAAAGAATACTCCGGACACTCAAGTAGGGACTCTCAAGCACAGTACTGAGTACACTATGCCACTACAGCCATCTTGAGAAAACAAGTATTCAATCATTTCAATGCAAGTTTCTGTAACTGCATGGTTTAGAGCTGGATGTACTATTTACACTAACATGTAGCACTTTTATTTAAGTAGCTTAGAACATACAAATAAGACTAAGTCATAGAAGTCAATAATGACACTATTTACTGTGACAATAAGTGTTCCATGTAAATTAAGCATAATATGTGAAGAAAATCTTCTAGTATCAACAAGATCCTTTATAGGAAATGCATTGCTAAGTTGAATCAATGATGGAACTTGGAAGCAGTCCAATCGTTTCCAAACTCATAAATCAGGCTAACCTTTCTGGACAGAAACATGAACCATGGGGTTGAATTCTTTCAACGAATCACAACAAAGCTCAGCAACAGATTTTCCAATAAACACATTTTCATCCGGAGGGATTAAAAAATTGGCAGAGAGTAATTCATCAATCACCATACGATCATCGTTCAAGGTCAAAGAACCTACTCCAGCTAAAACAATATTTTTGCAAAACTGCAGCATTCAAAAAAACAAATCACATTTTTTCAATTATATGAAAAGTTGACAGTATGATGGTTTTAACTTTTTAATGTAAACTTGTTATAGTTTTTTTTAGTACCTCAACTGCAGTCCCTTTGAGTCCACTGACAAATACATGAGCTTTGCTAAGTCTGTTGCAAATAAAATATTTATAGTCTTTCATTGAACATGTAAAACGCCCGGTGACCACAAAAACAATAAGAATAGAAATACGAAAACCCCACACAATAGCCGCTACTTAAGTTGCTATTCATATATAATTAAGGTAAAAGATGGGGATGAAGACAACCTTTTAAGTATTAGAAAAATACATGGACAAGTTGTGGCAAAGAATTAGGCTTATGTGGAATTCTGAGATACTATAATAAGTTATAAGAAAATACTATTAGCAAAACAAAAAATAATTCCAACATTTTTGTTAGGTAGGTCTCTTCATTTGGAGGGCCCACATGTTAACTCTTAAGGAATAAGTATAAAACTATAAAAAGTTTACAAAGATTTTGGCTGGGAATGAAGAAAAAACATATGATTACGACGTGTGGCAGCTAACTCTGGTAGTGGAGAAAGGCAAAAAACAAAGTTGAGTACTCAAATGTGAGGCGGCAATCCTAGTGGTGGCAAAACTTCCCTATAAATGGAGAGATGGGGAGAGTAGCTTTGCAAAGAGAGTTCGTCAATTCAATTAAGAGAGTAAGCCAAAAGAAAAAGTTTTGCTTAGATGAAAAAATGAGAGTGAATGCTTAGGAAATATTTTCCTAAACGAATACTGTATTAGTGTGTGATAAAACAGTGAGGTAAATATATCCAAGTGGCGAAATAATTGTAAACCACTATTTTGGAGTTAACTCTGAGAGCCTACTATTTGTAACAGTAGAAGAAGAAATAATCAAATATTGGTTTGTGGACGTAGCGTAAAAGTTTAAGGTGAACCACGTTAAATTCCCCTCTACTTTGCTCAATTTATCCCTCCTATTTTTATTACTTACTCCACTACGGCCAATAATTTTACAAAACCTAATACCCTGTGATTGAATGTTCAACTATGAAGTTAAACCTCAAGCACTAGTACTATTCACTATCAGGCGTATTGTAATTGAAGTGTAGACTGTAGCAGCGATTGTGCTGTCATCTTCAATATCTTGATGTAGACAGATTCTTGAAAAAAAACTTGAACTAGATGGGGCAAACAAGTCCTGTGTAGATTTCCGAGATACTATGGCAGTTTACATTAAGAAACTACTAACAAGCAAAAAGTAATACCATCATTTCAACTAAACCTAAACCCCTGCGATTCAATTCAATGCTGAACTATGAAGATGAGTTTTATTTTTACCAGAGAACGAGTACAGCTAAGGCAAACGCAGTAAACAACATTGTGAAGGTGTGGAACTTAAACTACATTCGTATTCTGCAAATCTTCTTAACTTTAAACTGAAATATACGGATATGCAGTTCTTCTACGGCTATGTAGAAGCAAATGAGAAACAGGCAACATGAATTAAGCACCATTAACAGATTTTTAGGTGAGCACGAAAGATACATACCGTCTTTGAGCATCAACACCCCAAACCCTAATCTGGCGATCGTAGATGGCAGTTTCCTGCTCCGTCAACTCTACTGGCTCCATAGCCCGAAATAAAACAACCTGAAGAAGAATAAAAGTAGAGTTTCTGCTCGTCTCCACAGTTCTCGAAAAGATCAGCGAAATACGGAGTATAAATTTTAAAAATTAGGGGCGCGAGTCATTAATACCGAGTACAGTAAAGCACCACCAACTGGGAACTTGAAACAGAAACTGCGAAATTCGAAGCCTGAAGCTAATTTTGAAAACCGGATGTCTGATCTTTTGAGAAGCAGGTGTTAAGCGGGAGATAGAGAGCAAAACTATTTAGGACTAAGGCTCAGGAATTAAAGTTCCCTACGTTTTTCTCAGTCCGGAAATTAAGTTCCCATTCTACGTTTTCATACTCACTCTTCCTAAAATACCCCTTCTTCTATTGCTTTCTTTCTTCCTCTTTTCTTTTTTCTTCTCCCCCCTTTTTCTCGCAGACCTGGCCAGTCCCTTTCTTTTTCTTCTCTCTCGTTCTTTCTCTCTTCCCCCTCCCCCTTCTATTTTTCTTCTCCCAATTATCTTCTTCTTCATTTCTTCTTCCTCTCCTTTTCCTTCTTTTCTCAGCAAAAACACGCCACTCTTACTCCCCCTCTTTTTCTTCTTTTTCTTCTTTCTCTCCTTTCCTTTCTCGGCCAGATCTGGCCATCATTTTCTCTCTCCCTTCCCCTCCTTTTTCTTATTCTTCTTATTTCCGATTAGATCTACGTGCGGTGATTTGATATCATCTCCTTGTAGATCTACGGTTGAGGGAGGATTTTGATTTACTTGCAGATATGGAGGAGGCTGGGGCGACGGTTGGGGCGGTGGTGG